ATCAATATTCTTCGCCAATCGGTTCACCAATTTCACCCAATATCAACTAATAGTACCCAAACCAGTCCAGAAAATGCACTATCAGTCCTAATCCGGGTTTAGGAGGTACACTCACTTGAATCTAAATTAGGACGACGGGACCGGGTGGCCAATTGCCGATGAACGGCGAAATCGGCGGCGGCGTTCCGGCGGCGACAACTCACGGCGGCGTACGGACGACGGGTACGGACAGCGTACGGACGATCGTACGGGGACGGCGACGTACGGCGACGTACGGATGGCTGAAGCATCACGGTGGCAGCAGCTCCACTGTACAAGCTCCGGCGCGGCGGCGGTGAAGCTTCGGCGTTCCTTTGGCCGAGAGAGAGAAAACAAGGGATAGAGAGAGAGAGAGAGAGAGAGAGAGAGAGAGAGAGAGAGAGAGGGAGGAAGGGGGACGGACGGGATGGTGGTGAGGCGAGGTCAGGCGGAGCAGCGGCACCTGCGGACGGCGGCAGCACGGCGGCGGTCCGGCGAGCTCCGGCGTACGGCGTCCACACTTGGCCGAGAGGGAGAAACCGGTGAAGAAGGAGGGGCTAATCGGGAGAGGAGGAGGAGGACCGAATGAGAGGGAGGAGAGAGAGTGGGCTGGTCAGACCGGTCAAATATAGGGGCTTAGTGGGTGCCACGTATCGCCGATCCGGGAAATTTGACCAAAATGCCCTTAATCCGACGGTCTTGAATCATCCCTATCCAATAATTGATGGGCATAAGGGTAATTGGGTCCAATAATTCAGCTGGAAATCCAATATTAATTATCCCAATTAATTCCCAAAATTCGGTACCCAAAAATAGCCCAGGGGCAAAATGGTCATTTTTCCGGTCCAGAGGCGAAATTCCAATTTTTATCCATACTTACCCCAAATGTGTGTGGCCACTCAAAAAGGGTGTCGGATTCGTAAAAATAGCCTCCTAAGCCCTTGAAAATCGACTGCGAGTCCGGAGGAATAAAATAATATTTTCTTTTCACTTCCGGGTCAAAATTCCAATTTTTGACCGTAACCACTCCAAATATGCGTGGCCATCCTAAAATGGCATAGGCCAAACCAAGTCCGTCGTTTTTCCTAAGATCGGCCCACGTTGGCTCAAAATATTCCCTCATCATTTCTCAAGATCGGTGTCCGGTTCGCGATTGGGTCCCTGGTCCACGTACCATCTTCCTAGTTAGTCATACCCCTTTGGTTAGTATTCCTAGAGTGATCAGCTCTGGGCGAGACTTACTAAAATGAAATGCGAAATATTATCAATTTTATTGATCTCGGAATTACATCGAAATTCAGGCTGTTACAACTCTTCCCCCCTTACAAAAATTTCGTCCTCGAAATTTGCAATCTATCCTTATCTATTCAAATAACTGGGGGTGTTGACGTCTCATAGCCTCTTCACTTTCCCAAGTGGCACCTTCCGTTCCATGGTGCTCCCAGACAACCTTGACCATCGGAATCGTCTTGTTCCTAATCACTCGGTCTTTTCTATCTTTGATTCTGACTGGACTTTCCACGTACGACACTTTGTCGTCCACGTCTATCTCCTCGTACCTTAGAACGTGAGTCGGATCTGGTTCGTACTTTCTTAATATCGACACGTGGAAAACATTATGCACTTGGGATAGGTTGGGAGGCAAGGCAAGTCGATAAGCCATATCATCAATCTTTTCCAATATCTCAAATGGCCCGACGTACCTTGGACTGAGCTTTCCTTTCTTGCCGAATCGAGATAATCCTTTCATTGGCGACACCATGAGGAATACATGATCTCCCACTTGAAATTCCAAGGGTCGTCGTCTCCTGTCGGCATAACTCTTTTGGCGACTCTGCGCTGTCCTCAGTCTGTCTCTAATGATCCCGACGGCTTCAACCGTCTGTTGAACTAACTCTGGGCCTATTATACTTTGCTCACCAACTTCGTCCCAACATAATGGCGTTCTACAAGCTCTGCCGTATAAGGCTTCAAACGGCGTCATTTGAATACTCTGTTGGTAGCTGTTGTTGTAGGCAAACTCTACTAAATGTAACTGTTCTTCCCATTTGCCTTGGAAAATCCAATACACAGGCTCTCAACATATCTTCCAGAGTTTGAATAGTCCTTTCCGACTGGCCATCTGTCTGCGGATGATAGGCCGTACTGAATTGTCACTTGGTGCCTAAGGCCACTTGCAGACTCTTCCAGAAACTGGCCGTGAACCTTGGATCACGATCCGATGTGATCGTCACTGGCACTCTATGAAGACGTACTATTTGCCGCACATATAATTCTGCATACCTTTCCAACTCAAAGTCCTTCCGTACTGCCAGGAAGTGCCCTGACTTAGTTAAATGATCCACTATGACCCATATTGAGTCATGACCTCTCTGGCTTCGCGGCAATCCCGACACGAAATCCATCGTGATGTGCTCCCACTTCCACTCGGGAATTTCCAACGGTCTCAGCAGTCCTCCAGGCTTACAGTGCTGTGCCTTCACTTGTTGACACGTCAAACACTTAGCCACATGCTTAGCTACATCAGCCTTCATTCCGTTCCACCAATAATATTGCCGCAAATTCTGATATATTTTTGTGCTGCCTGGGTGGATACTGTAATTGCTCCTATGAGCTTCCGATAAGATTTCTTCCTTGAGCTCTGCGTCATCGGGCACGCATATTCTTCCTCGGAACTTCAAGATTCCATTCTTGCTCAACTGAAAATCTAATTTTCGCTTAGCAGCATCCAACCCAACAATCTTTTGGATTTCCTGATCGGTAGACTGAAGCTCTTTGATTCTAGATAGGAGCTCCGGTTCAATCCTTAATGCAGCTAGCAGGTTAGACATTCGGCTCACTTTAAATTTGAACTCTGAATCTCTGAGCCTTTTCAATAACGTCCACTCCTTAACCATCAAATGCGCCATACTAGACTTGCGACTTAAGGCATCCGCAACTCGGTTCGCCTTACCAGGGTGATACAAAATGTCGCAATCGTAGTCCTTTAGAAGCTCCATCCATCGGCGCTGCCTCATGTTCAACTCTTTCTGCGAAAACAGGTACTTGAGGCTTTGATGATCGGTATAAATCTGGAATTTCTCTCCACACAAATAATATCTCCAGATTTTGAGGGCGAAAACGATAGCAGCTAATTCCAAGTCATGCGTCGGATAATTCATTTCATGAGGCCTCAACTGACGCGACGCATATGCTACCACTTTTCCATGCTGCATTAAAACACATCCGAGCCCTCTTAAGGAAGCATCACTGTAGATCTCAAATCTTCCAGGTCCAGATGGAATGGTCAACACTGGAGCGGTTGTCAGTCTATACTTCAGCTCTTGGAAACTTTTCTCACATTTATCGTCCCACTCAAACTTAGTCTCCTTCTTAAGCAGCCTTGTCAATGGCATAGCTATTGATGAAAATCCTTCTACGAATCGTCTGTAATAACTAGCCAAGCCTAGAAAGCTCCTGATCTCAGTTACCGATGTTGGTCTAGGCCACTTAGTCACTGCTTCAATCTTTGCTGGATCTACAGAGATTCCGTCTCCCGAAACGATATGTCCAAGGAACCCTACTCGGCTGAGCCAAAACTCGCACTTGCTCAACTTGGCATACAACGCGTGATCTCTTAAGGTCCGAAGCACTTCAGTCAAGTATACTTCATGTTCTTCGGGACTCTTAGAGTACACCAGTATATCATCAATGAAAATTATCACGAATTGATCCAGGAATTCCTTGAACACCCGATTCATCAGATCCATAAAAGCAACTGGGGCATTCGTTAGTCCAAAGGGCATAACTGTAAACTCATAATGCCCGTATCTGGTCCTGAAAGCAGTCTTGGGAATGTCCTCATTTCTGATCCTCAACTGATGGTACCCGGTCCTTAAGTTTATCTTGGAAAACATTGAGGCTCCTTGTAGTTGGTTGAACAAATCATCAATCCTCGGCAGCGGATACTTGTTCTTCACTGTCACTTGGTTCAGCTGCCGGTAATCTATACACAACCTCAGAGTTCCATCTTTCTTTTTAACAAACAGGACTGGCGCTCCCCATGGAGACGCACTTGGGCGAATGAAACCTTTGTCCAGCAATTCCTGTATTTGCACTTTCAACTCTTTCAATTTCGATAAGGACATCCGATATGGTGCCTTCGAAATCGGCTCTGTCCCAGGAGCCAATTCAATTACAAACTCCACCTCTCGCTCAGGCGGCAAACCCGGTAATTCCTGAGGAAACACCTCAGGAAAATTGCATACTACGGGTATATCCTCCAACTTTGGTTCCGTCACTGTCGGATCTACAACATTAACCAGATATCCCTCATACCCATCATCCAACAACTTGGTCACCTCCAGCGAGGAAATCCAAGGGATGGAGGTTCCTCCTCGATTTCCTTGGAATACAAAACTAGGACGTCCATTTGGGTTAAATTGGATCGTCCTATCGCTGCAATCCAATACAGCTTTCTGTCGGACTAACCAGTCCATCCCAATGATCACATCAAAATCGAACATGGCCAATACTGCCAAGTCGATACTCTCTTCCTTACCCCCAATAACTATCTTACAATCAGGGCATTCAAAAGAGACTAACACCTTATCATTCATGGGTGTCGACACACAAAGCACATTCTCAAGCAATACTAGTTTCGGACCAACCAACTTAATAAACTGCTCGGAAATAAAAGAATGGGTTGCCCCCGGATCAAACAATGCATAAGCGGCATGATCACATAAGGAATTCGTACCTGTGACCACGCCCGGAGCATTCTCAGCTTCCTTGCGCGCCATGGCATAGACCCTTCCTTGAGCTGGTGGTCGCCCTTGATTGGCCGGTGGGGGAGGTCCGGCTTGATTTCCAACTCGCGAAGGTGGCAACCTGGGCGGTCCTGAGGGCTGCTGTTGTGGGCAATTCCGAATCTGGTGTTCCAAACTCCCATATCTGAAACATGCCCCAAATCTACTCGGCTGGGGGCTCGGCTTTCCTATATTTCACCTAACTGGGGGAACAAATCGCCGATTGCCAACCATTAGCTTCTTTCCAAAACGGCGATTATCTCTATTCTGGGCAAATCGCGATCCCGAAGCGGCAGCCCTTTCCTGCTGATCTCGCTCCATAATCTGAGCCCGTCTATATATCTCCCCATAATCCTTAATATCATGCGACAGAATCAGACTCTGAAGATCCGGCTTTAATCCATCCCGGAATCTTCGAGCTCTGTCTCGCGGATTTTCCACCATAGTCGGTGCGAACTTCGCCAGCCTAGCAAATTCCGCTTCATACTGGTCAACCGTCATCTGACCTTGGCGCAACCGCATAAACTCCATCAACTTCTTTTCCTGGGCGTTTTCCGAGAAATACTTCTCATAGAAATTCTCAACAAATATCGCCCAAGTCGGTGCCGTTCCTTCAGGGAATACTCTGCCTTCTGTGGCCTTCCACCAATCATTTGCGCCATCCTGCAACTGATAAACCGCCAATGTTACCTTCTCCTCATCAGTGCACCCCAAAACCTTGAAGGTTTTCTCCAGTTCTTCCACCCATCTCGGTGCGATCTCAGGGTCACCACGACCATGAAATTTAGGCGGCTTCAACTTTATGAATTGGTCTACTAACTGGGGCATCTGCCTAACCCCTACTGGTTGAGCCTGCCCTGGCTGGGATTGATTTCCTTCATTCCCAGCAATTGGCGCGGCCTCGGCAGCCTGGGCATAAGCTGCGGCCCTTTCTTGAGCTTGCAATCCCATGATATGCCCTATCTCTCGTAGGGTCTCCATCACTTCATCGAACCTGGGGTCCCTGGCCTCTTGGCCTCCCGTACTAGACTGACCCTGGGGTTCCTTTCCCCTTCTTCTACTCATCCTTGCAATACCAGCTATTCAACTACTTGCTATAATTCCACGAAGGAATTAAAGACTTAACCCAATCTATCCCAGTCTAAGTCCTAGGCAGGTATCAAAACAACAATCAAACAGCCAGCATGCGGTCTAACAACATAACACTCCACCCAAGGGATTCACATACTCACCTCAGGTCCTGCCGCACCTGCACGTTACGGGTGAAACAACCAAGCAATTCAAACACAATCACAAGCTGTCAGGAGATACATGTAGCACACGAGGTCAACCTACTGGCTACCCAAGGTCTCATCGCTCCTTATCACTCTAGGCTTCGACTGAATTGGACCGAGCTGACCTTGCTCTGATAACAATTCAAATGGGGATGTCACGCCCCGTACCCCACGAAGCGCGAGCATCCCACCACAGGTCGATTTGAGTGCGACGTCCCAGGAAGCGTCGCCGACCCAACGCCCAACAGAGAACAAGCACAAGCGGAAGCAATCTAAATAAACAAACCCTGACAATAATATTAGTACGAGACAATGGATAGCCAACCAATAACCAACACAGCTTAAAATATATACACTTTATATATTACTAACGAAAGCTGTTTTTACAATATATACATATACAAAACAAACTATAAAAGATCAAACCAAGAACAGCCACTGTTTGACAAAAGGGCCTAGATGGCTGGGTAAGTCTACCGATCCTACCGGGAGGACTATCATAAAAAAGGAACAGCCTCCACGCTTATCACTCCACCCTGCACTACGGCTCCCAGTCCAGATCTGAGGACTCGGTAGGATCGTCTGACGACTCCTCGGAAGCCTCCTCACTAGACCCTGACTCCTCCGAGTCCATGGCCTCTGCCGCGATCCTCTCATCCTCTGAATCTAGCTCTAACTCCGGGTCCAGATACCATCCTAACTCCTCATCGTCCTCAGCTCCTATCTCGACATCTGACCCTACCTCAGCGACTTCTCCGTCCTCATCCTGGTCTTGATCCATGGGCTCCGCCTCTGGTTCAACCTCCTCGTCCATCGGCTCAGGGTCCTCATACCATACCTCGGGCTCCTGATCCATGGCTACAGGCTCGTCTGCAATCTGGGGATCCATGATCTCGCCATCGGCCATCTGGGGTATCATCACCCCATCTATATCAACTGGGACGTCGAAGGTCCTGAGGGGTCGCCCAATATTTCCATCCGCGTCTCTGAGGCACCATGCCACGTACTCCTGAGGCTGATAAAAATACTCACCCACATTCACGAACACTATGGATCGGTATCTTACATACGCTTCCCCATTCCCTGAGGGGAAGACTCTCGTCGTTTGATGAATCTGTACAGGGATCGCAAAAAGTGGTGGCGGCACCGGCATGCTTAGGGCTGGGGGTCTGAAAAGGTGGGTTATTACAACCGTGAGAAGAATCTCAGCGAGTATAACCCCTAAACCTAGGCTAGGCTAACATGCAATCTCCTGACAGGTATATCACAAACAACATAGCACTACAAATCACAATCATTCTCCGACCTGGGCCCTCGGGCCCCGATCACTTACCTGGCTGACCCTGCAGGTTAGACATTTCAATACACTGATCACTTCACATTCACGAACACGCTTCTCATACATACGTCATACGCATGATCACACTAATCAGTGTTCGTATCACATGCCATTCACCGAGTCTCGTACATTCGCACACTAGTCCATGCATTCCTATGCATGCATATGTGGTCGACATGCCATAATCATGTCTCGGCTCACTAGCCCACACTGGCACACTAGCAAATGCTCAATTTATCATTTATTACAACTCGCGTAAAAACGCATCAGGTTCTTTTCTTAAACACAACACTCCGTGGCCAGCGTGAAAACGCTCCTGGCCCAGTGTCTCTAGCCCGCGTCAAAACGCATCAGGCGCAACACCGATCTCCTTACGAACCAGAGCCAGCGTAAAACGCATCAGGATGGTCGTCTTCCGGACGTACCGGGCATCGTCCCGCGTAAAACGCATCAGGACGGCACACCCCGCGTAACACGCATCAGGGCGAATTGTGATCACACATACACACAGCCAGTTATTATCTGAACCCCGCGTAAAACGCATCAGGGTATTTTAAGTGATCACATGCTCATGGCAGTCACGCATTCTCGCACAATTTCGTCACACGCCTCATTCTCGGCATACTCAATGCATGGCCATGAAATGCAACATAGTGCAATATGAGCATCAATAAAACACAGTCACTCAGTCAAATCAAGGTTACCACACAGTGCCCAACATTCACTTCACAATTCGGCACTCAATTCAAGCCACAATTGGCCAATCACATACCGCACCATTCTAACCACGCGAGCACACGTCATGGCATATCACAATTGAGTATAAATCAGCCATCAATCAATCAATCCGGCAATTCCCGACAATATGACAACATAGACCTCAATTGGCCAATTTCGATCTGCCAATAATCCCATGTGGACAGCCACTATTTGGCACGTCCTCGGCCTCAAAATCACCTTCAATTCAGCCTATAATTTTATCACAATCCACATATCAATATTCTCCGCCAATCGGTTCACCAATTTCACCCAATATCAACTAATAGTACCCAAACCAGTCCAGAAAACGCACTATCAGTCCTAATCCGTGTTTAGGAGGTACACTCACTTGAATCTAAATTAGGACGATGGGAACGGGCGGCCAACTACCGATGAACGGCGAAATCGGCGGCGGCAACTCACGGCGGCGTACGGACGACGCGTACGGACAGCGACGTACGGACGCGTACGGGGACAGCGTACGGACGGTCGTATGGGGACGGCGACGTACGGCGACGTACGGATGGCTAAAGCGTCACGGCGGCAGCAGCTCGGCTGTACGAGCTCCGGCGCGACGGCGGTGAAGCTTTCTTCGTTCCTTTGGCAAAGAGAGAGAAAACAAGGGAGAGAGAGAGAGAGAGAGAGAGAGAGAGGGAGGAAGGGGGACGGACGGGATGGTGGTGAGGCGAGGTCAGGAGGAGCCGCGGCACCTGCGGACGGCGGCAGCACGGCGGCGGTCCGGCGAGCTCCAGCGTACGGCGGCCACACTTGGCCGAGAGGGAGAAACCGGCGAAGAAGGAGGGGCTGATCGGGAGAGGACGAGGAGGACCGAATGAGGGGGAGGAGAGAGAGTGGGCTAGTCAGATCGGCCAAATATAGGGGCTTAGTGGGCGCCACGTGTCGCCGATCCAGGAAATTTGACCAAAATGCCCTTAATCCGACGGTCTTGAATCATCCCTATCCAATAATTGATGGGCATAAGGGTAATTGGGTCCAATAATTCAGCTGGAAATCCAATATTATTTATCCCAATTAATTCCCAAAATTCGGAACCCAAAAATAGCCCAGGGGCAAAATGGTCATTTTTCCGGTCTTGGGGTGAAATTCCAATTTTTGTCCATACCAACCCCAAATGTGTGTGGCCACTCAAAAATGGTGTCGGATTCGTAAAAATAGCCTCCTAAGCTCTTGAAAATCGGCTGCGAGTCCGGAGGAATAAAATAATATTTTTTTTTCACTTCCGGGTCAAAATTCCAATTTTTGACCGTAACCACTCCAAATATGCGTGGCCACCCTAAAATGACATTGGCCTCGAAAAATAATCTTATACGGCCTCAGAATCAACGTCGGGGTCCAGAGGGGCAAAATCGTAATTTTTGACTTCCGGGTCGAAATTCCATTTTTCGACCGCACTAACTCCAAATGTGTGTGGCCAGCATAATACGACGTCAGAATCGTGAAAATAACCTCTTAAGCCCTCGAAGATCGACACCGAAGTCCGGGTCCAATTTCGTGACCACAACTCGGTAAACTTCAAATTTTAAAGCCTCTGACTAACGGGCGGCATTTTATGGTTTACGCGTATCGACCTAGGGGTACTCGAGTCGAGACGGTCTTGATCGCCGAGAGAAAGAGAGGAATTATCGCTAGTTCCAGAGGTCGCGATCGTTCGGTTCAAGTTCGGGACTGGTTGGCCACGTGCACTTTCGGACGTACGGAATCACCCGCGATCCGATTGTACATCGTTGGCCTAGGCCAAACCAAGTCCGTCCTTTTTCCTAAGATCGGCCCACGTTGGCCCGAAATATTCCCTCATCATTTCTCAAGGTTGGTGTCCGGTTCGCGATCGGGTCCCTGGTCCACGTACCATCTTCCTAGTTAGCCATACCCCTTTGGTTAGTATTCCTAGAGTGATCAGCTCTGGGCGAGACTTACTAAAATGAAATGCGAAATATTGTCAATTTTATTGATCCCGGAAATACATCGAAATTCAAGCTGTTACAGTTATTTTGGGAAGAGACCTATGACGGGAAATAATCGTTTCGTCCCTCCTGTTCAGAGAAATATCAGGAAGCCGAATCGCTGTCAGAACGCCTCGTGTCGATTATGTGGAGGGAAACATGGGAATGGACCTTGCCCAAATAGGGGCGGAGTGTGTTTTATATGTGGTGGAATAGGCTATCAATTCAGGAAATGTCCCAATAACAGACAGGCTGGGTCGCCTGCGCTGCTGCCACCATCGCCCCGGAATAGAAATCAGTTCGGAGCTGTCCAACCGGCCAACCAGAATAGACCGCCGGCCCAAGGACGAGTATATGCAATGGCGAGGAGGGAAGCTGAGGACGTGCCTGGCGTGGTCACAGGTACGGTATCTCTCTGTGAGCATGCTGCATATGCTTTATTTGATCCGGGGGCGTCGCATTCGTTTATATCTGAGCAGTTCGTTAAATTGTCTGGAATTGAGTCGAAACCTCTTGAAGTTATGCTGTGTGTGACTACTCCGTTGAATGATAAAGTGCTGATTGCGTTTGGGTGCCCTGATTGTAAGATAGTGATTGGTGATAGGGAAGGAAGGATAGATTTGGCAGTTTTAGCTATGTATGACTTTGATGTGATTATTGGTATAGACTGGTTAGTTAAACAGAAAGCTATAATGGATTGTAGTAATAGGGTAATCCAATTTGATTCGGTTG